GCTTAGTCAAATTTGTTCACATCTTGGGCTTGAAAAATGGAGGACAAGGTGTGCTTATTCAGGGGCAGCCAAAACGCTGCAACACCAAGAGATATCAACATTGCAGGGAGCAGGGTGGACGACTGTCATGGCATTTGATTGGACAGTTAGCCCTCTAAGATAGCTCGGCGGGCCACCCAGCACGTTTGCAGGGAAGCAAGCTCAAGTTTGAACATTCCCGTTTAAAGATAGGCCACCCTTACTTTCTGCAAGCTGTAGCCCGAGTGCGAACGGGTATTTTGCCGCTAGAGGTGTCTGGCTGCAAGCCACACGCTTCTTCCAATTGCTTTTTTATGGGGTTGTGGAGTTGGCAACCCCCTGAAAGAGCTCGGCGGCCCGCCGAGCACTTTTAGAGGGTAGGGAGCTCGGTGACCCCAAGGTGGTGATGACCGCTCTTACGGCTTGTGGTTGCAGACTTGGCAACCCCCTAAAAGAGCTCGGCGGGCCGCCGAGCAAGTTTACGGGGTAGGGTACCGGCACACCCCACAGACAAGCTCAAGTCTGGACATTCCCTTCTAAAGACAAGCCGCCTTTACTTTCTACAGGGTTGGACGACCCCCCTCAGTTGGAGGTTCCAGCCATAATCGTACAAGGAAGTTTGAGGATATGCTATCCTGATCAGTTGCTTGGGCTGCAAAGCGTGAGGGTCAGATAAGGGCATGGCTGGCCGATTAACAAGTGGGCTGCGGCAATGTTGTTTTTGGTCTTTTGGCTGGCCCTGTTATTGCCCTCCCTGTTGGGAGATCGGGCAAGTCCGAGGTTTAGGACCCCACTCTATTCCGCTTGGCACCCAGAAATCCTAGGGTTGACCAGGCTGCATCGTGGGCCCAGACCTGGCGGTGGTCCATTTGGTGATGACCAAGAAGGGTGAGGCGGACATCCCGGGCCTCACCGACGACCAGAAGCCCCGGCGCCTGGGGCCCAAGCGCGCCTCGAAGATCCGCAAGCTCTTTGGCCTGGAGAAGAAGGACGACGTCCGGCAGTTCGTGGTGCGCCGGGTGATCAAGGACCGTCCTCTAGGCTCAGTGGGCTCTTTTTGCAAATTGTTTTTGGGAAGAAGATGGAGAAAGGAAGCCCTCGAATTTCCACCAGTGTAACTTTCTCCCTATGGAAATTGCATGGGGCTTCTGAGTGGTTGATTCCTTCGCCTTTCTGTTTAACCATCCTTCCACAGACATGGTTTGTGGGGTGGCGCGATTTCTTCCAAAGGATCCCTGGGTTGAAAGTTGACCCGAGAAAGCCATCAAGACCGTTTCGGTTTTGCCCAGGCCTTTTGAAATGGGCTTCCTGGCGAGGTGTTGCTTTAAAGAGGACAATTAGACTAGTACTTCATGAGGAACTCTACGCTCCGGAGGTTGGATTGCTAGGCCAAAGAGTAAGTTGAAGATGACACCCACAGGTTTCGTGTTGGTGGAATATGTCATTGAAGCTTGGCCATGCCTAATTCCCTTTGCAAGAGAATAATGTGCTGCTTCCCCACTTCTTCAAACAGTTGGGGGTGGGGCAAAGCCAGGTTGCCAATTCTAGTATTATGTTTCAACTGGGTCCATGAAAGTGACATCCATAAAATCACCCTGCTTGAAGGGGTTTCCCACACGAAAAGAAATGTCGAGAACCCCTCGAATTTGGAACTTGAAATGACCCCTTAAAACAGGGAGATTCCCAAACTCGTGGGGTGGCGTCCCTGTTTACAGCACGGTCTGAGGCTCTTAGTTTACTTTTGACAAAGTTTGATGATACTGCAGGAGGGCAAGAAGACCAAGGCGCCCAAGATCCAGCGACTCATCACCCCCCAGCTGCTGCAGAGGAAGCGCTACTTCAAGGCCCTTGTCCGGAGGCCAGCCGATTTGCACCACAAAACGCCCACCTGAGTCACAATGGACCAAATCGCGCAATCCGACCCTGAGATACGCCCAAAAAACGTATTTGAAAAGGCGAGAGCTGCCTTTTCAAGGTGTGCGATGTGTTTGTTGGCTCCTTTCGAGGCGCATGGAGGCGGGCAAGGCCGCCAAGGCCGAGTACCAGAAGCGGCTGGCGGAGTATAACCACGAGAAGAAGGAGGCCAAAGCCGCGGAGCTTCAGAAGAAGAAGGCGAAGAAGGCGCCGAGACGAAGATTCAGCTCCACGCGGATTGCTCTGGCTTTGATAACCAAATTCTAACATCAACCCTTAAAAGGGTTCGGGGCAAAAGGTAGCTTGTATGGGTTCACAAGTTCAGAACCAAAATTGGAAAGTCAACCCATAAAGGGTTCATGGATTCCTCTATTTGTTGGGGTGGTTTTAAGCATCACTTGTGGACCAAATTTGGCCGAGTTTCCTCTTGGGGTGATGTTGAAGGAATCAGGGGGAGCCCCGTTCCAACTTGTTTGTCGCTTCTGTGGCGGTTCCCAGCTATGGACTTGAGGACTTTTAACGTTGGGAAGGGAACAACGAACCACAAAGTTTTGCTGGGGGTTCACCACCATAAATTGTCAACCCGAAAAGGGATTCCGGTTTTTGTTCCTACCATCCTGGATTTATGCAAGGGGGAGTGTAAAGGGCATGCACAAAAAACCGTTGGGCAGAAACCATCAGCAATTTGGTCACATTTCTAGCCCCGATCCGAGCAAGCCCTGCTAGGCCTAGTCTCAGCGTATGTGCCGGCGGATGTGATGGCTCGCGCCGTGAGAAGAAAAAGCCTGGGCAGATTTGCGGATTTGTGAGATAGTGGGCAGCATATGCAGCATGCCATCGTTTAGACAAGTCTTGGAAGGAGCAGATGTCTTGGATGTTTTCGTTTGCGTGAACACGGGCAACTACACCAGCATAGGCTTCATAGTATGACACTGATATGGCCAAGTCTGAAACTAATCGAGGCCAACGCTGCACAATCGCGTGGCATTGTCACAAGAACGACTTCAGTGAAATGGAACGTTTCCGGAATGCAGGCAGCCACTAAAAGGTGATTGCTACAATAGCTTGCAAGTATGTTTGTTTGACCGCCAGGATGTGGTCCGGCCAACTTTAGCAGACGGCATCTTGGCTGAGTTACGCACGTGCGGACCTCGTATGCCAACTAACATGGAGCCGGAAAAGGTTTTTTGGAGGGTATTGCCTTATAGAAGCGAGCTTGACCAATCCGTTGGCCTGCGGTTGCTTTGCGCTGCGAAAATTTGGTCCTTCCAGACCTCACGCCAATCCATGGAGCAGGTTGCTGTACTTGCTGTACTGCTCACTTTACCACTAGGTTCGCCCCCCAAACTTCTACATGCTGGCGCTTCTTCCAGATCTAATGTTGGCTTGACAGTGAGCAAGCTACCTGCCGGGGGAAGATGCCTAGAGTTTTCTAGGCCTACTTGATTTTTAAAAAGGGGGGGAGGGGGGCGGGGCGGGGGCTGAAATTTTCCTTGACAGATTGTGAATCAGCAGGGGGAGGGGGGCGGGCGGGGGAAGGGGGCAAATGTGTTTTCCTGACCAAGGGAACCCAAAAAGTTTAGTTTGGTTTTTGCAGACCCCCAGTAACTGTCAGACCCCAGGAGATGTAAAGAAGGAGAAGACCTTGCAGCCTGGCCACCAGGGCTGGGCTGTGAAGACTGCTTACCTCGAGGAGCGGTTGGAGCGATTTCCTGGGTCTCAGTAGGGCAGACGGAGCCATCCTTGCGCTGAGCCTTGTAAACTAATAGCATTGCGCGATGTTTTGCAGGATTTTCACAGCAATCTGGGGGTTGTTTTCCTTTGGACCACCATTTCAAGTGTAATTTTCCGGATGTCACTTGAGTGCACTGTTGTGGGGGTTCTGGGGTGGTGCAGTCCCCGAACCCTGGCCATGCAGACTCAGAACGAGCGAGTTTGACGATGACGGAGTAAAAGGGTCCTTTTTTTTTGCACATCACTCTAGGTTTCATGAATGGGCGGGGGGGGGGTTGAGAAATTGCGTTTCGGATGTCGTTGTCGCTCCTTCTAGGCCAGTTTGAGTGATCTTTCGGTTGCAGGAGAGGTCGGCTTGCCTTTTCTCCGAGGTCTTTGTTCACCCCCTGAGTGGTTCGGAGTGTCTCTGAGACTCTGGGCTGAGGTTGGCGGGATATCACCGGAGCTTTTTTTTTGGTGGTTCAATCGCCTTTTGGTCGCCAATGTTGATCGCAGAGCGCTGATACTCACCAGCACATTTTGGGGCTCCACGCTCATTTGGTCGTGAAGTTTTGAGGGCACCCGTCACCCGTTTGGGGTTGGCTAAACGGGAACCAACAACCCATCATGGGCCTCGATTTTGACACGTGCAGTCCCCGCAGATCCCAGTGCGGTTCGGTCCCTAGTTTGCGCAGGCTAAGTCCAAGAAGCGGCACTTGGCGTATCTCAAAATCGAGGCGGTGGAGGAGAAGAAGGCGCGCCCGGACAAAAACCCGCCGAGGGGGTGAAAAGGGGAGAAAGGGGAGGCAGTGATGCCAGCTACTTGGAGGATCCGGGAGTCAGCTAAGTGATAGTCCCCAGTTAAACCTCCTGTTTCCCTCACTCCCTGAGTTCCTGACTTTACACTTCCTTGAAGACCATTCTAGTTGCAGCCAAGAAGTTTAGCCTGTTTTTGCCAATCCACTCAGGAAGTGAGTGCACCCTTGCAACCAGGGTTGCTAACCATTGCATACCACATGCAACATGCGCCGAAGTGTGACCTGACAAAAAGCTACTTGAACATTGGCCAGCACTTAACATCAATATTTTGCGGATCATTGTTGTATCGTCAGACCTTTCCATTGCTTTGGATGCTTGGTCACTGGACAGCCATTGTACCGTCCTCAAAGCCAGTTTGAGTCATTGTCTCGACTTGGCGGTTCCTTGCCACACTCCAAGACTGACAGATTTCTAGGGTGTCATGCGGGGGAATTTATGACACACCCCGCGGAAAAACATGACTTTCAAGATACCAGTTGAGGGTTTGACGTGGTAAGCGAAGCCTACCGTGTGGTGCCAGGCTTATCCGGAGCACGATGACTTCCAAGTCATTCTGGTCTTGGGTGACCCCCAGTGCTCCCCTGTTTGGACAGACCGGGGCTCAGCTGCCAAATCGAAATCTCCACCAAAAGCTAAGGCGTCTCCGCACTTGCATTGTTTTGTTTTTGCCAAACTTCCAGCTTGCTGCGTTTCCAGCATGAACGGTCTCAGTGCCTTGAAGGTCAATCCCCCTGTCACTGCGTCAGGTGCCACGGCGTGGGAAGAAAGGTAATGTCGACCCAGATGAATCAACCTTTTGATTGGCGGGTGGAGTTCCCCCGAGAAGTGAAGAACTTTCTCCCCCTCTCCAATCAAAATCAACCAGGGGTCCACTATAGTCTAACAACAAGTGGGCACACGAAGCACATAATTGTGGCCCACCAAGTACCGGGTTACCCATTGGTTGGGCATGCCAACTAAATATTACGAACAACAATCCAGGGTCAACATTAATCTCCTCCCCCTATTAATGAATGACCCCCATTAATAATAAATGCAAATCCGGGGCCCGAGACCAGATTTCCACTCCGTACAATTGATTTTCAATTGCCCCAACACTAAACCAACACTAAAGTCTTGGAATCCTTATTAGGGGGCACTTTTAGCAAGCTTCCAGCTCCACTTTTAAAAAGGTGGGTTCCTCAATTCCCCAAAAGGTTGCTTCCCCAAAAGCTGGCTTCCCCAAAAGGTTGGGTTCTTTTGGTGGGTTCCCCAAAAGGTTGTTCTTGACTCTCTCCCCAAAAGGTTGTCCTTGGTTGTCCCTGGCTCCCTGACTTCTTTTTTTTTCGCGCGGCTCCGTAGCTTTCTGCCTGGCTTCCTGCCTGGCTCTGTTCCCCCCTTATAGCCAATCCTGCCTGGCCTCTCGCCTGGCTGTCATCATTTCTGTGCTGGCTAATTAACCTGCCTGGCTGCAAACAAACAACCAGTAAACTGGTAAACAAATATAATGATACATCAAATTTCCTTATTGAACCGCTTACTCGCGGACCTTACAATTCAATCCATTTCATCCAAATCCTACGTGAACCCTCACATTGTTGGAAAAGCAAAAAAAAACCAACCCCAAAAACCCCAGTTAAAAAAACATATATTTTTGGGTGGATTTATTTATAATAGGGGGGGCCGTATTTATTAATAGGGGGAAGAGATTATGTGGTCGTTTCTTGAAATAGGGGACCGTCCAAATGGGCATTTCCGTTTGGTGGCCCTTTCAAACCACCCACAAAGGGGTCCGAATCCCACGGCGCGGATGTGGCCAAGGCAGCAGTGCAACAGCTGGAGATCGGCGAGAAGGCGAGATTCGCTCTCTCGCGGAAAGTGCGGAACCCCAGCGTTCAGCCAGCCCGGCGTGGAGCCACGTGCTGGCTGCTTAAGCTTGTTACACGAACAGCCTGACCCGGGTCTGTCCCTTGAAGCCCCGGAGATCTAATGGAGGCTGCTTCAACAACTGTGGCAAGTTGTTTCTGCAAGTTAGCACAACCCTGGAATCCCCACCTCAATCGAATTCGAGAATGTGCCCAAGTCTCCTGCAAATACATGTCGCCATGTTTTAGACTCTAGACAAGCATCCTTTTGGACAACCCCCCTTTCACAAAGTGCAGGGGGCGGTAGCCAATCTGCCGCTATTAAATGGGACACCCACTTTCAGTACATCCCTGTAATGCCGATCAAGCGGCCGGTGTTTCCGGGTGATGCTTAAAGGGAAGCACAAGTAGCCTGAGAATCCCAAGGTTGATTCGCGTGAACCAAAGAGCAGCCGCCATTTCGCGGATGGGGGTCCCAGCTCGAGCAAAGTTTGCACGAAATCACAGGCTGGCATGGTGTAGGTGCTGTCTCCTGTGGTCTCCTCAAAAAATACGATTTTGGCCTGACCACCTGGCTTTCAACCTTTAATTGCGCCCTTGTCACTTTTTTTGGCTGGGGGTCAGATCAGTCTTGCCCAACATGGGGCGACAGACGGAACGGCCCTGGCAGATTCCAGGACAGCTTCCAAGTGCCCACCAACCACTGGCCTAAATACTGTTTAGAAAGTGGTTCTATTGTCGCTGTATGCCCTCGTTTCCTTCTGGGGGTAGTGGCTTGGGGTAGTGGAAGCTCTGGCTCAAGGCCCTTGACTTCAACCCAGAGAGTTTGGCGCCAGACGACTCCTGCTCAAGCTGGGAGGCGCGGGCGACTCGTCAAAGTCCACTCCCAAACCATGACTCGTGATTGTGGAGAAGTTGCTTTTGATCTTGGCTTGCCTGTCTAACTTCTTAGCTTTTTGCTTGTCCATCAGTTTCTCATTCAACCAGCAACAAGGAACCCCCTTGAAGTGACAGACAGTGTGATTTCCACCTGCCATGTCTTGTGAGCATGGTTTGGGGGCGCAGGATGCCCACCATTCTATTCCTCTCGGTTCTTGTTCCACCCATAACACTTTGCGCCAGAATTTCTGTAGATGGACTGCGTTCATTTGCACTTTTTTGGGAGCAGCCAGAAAGAGCGCCATACCATCAACTCAGGGGACCACAAACGACTTCGAATAACTGAGATCCAGCTTGCATCAAAGGACAATCATGGAACAGTCTTAGAGCCCATTTCAGGTCACTCAATTTAGATCAACCATGTACAGACGGGCTGGCGGCTAGTTTTCTTCCGCCATTGCCAGATCGAGTTGCGCGAGCCTCAGAGATGTCGAAACCCCGGCGAGGCGATTGCAGCCCGTGAGTGGAAGGCCACTCAAACACTTGTTATATCCGCCACTTAGGTTGCATATGTTCACTCGAACCTTAGGCAAACCAGACCCATGAGTTTCGTTGTGTGTTTGTTTTTTGTCTGTTGGTGCGGGTTTGCGCGTGTTTTACTTGTGATTGCCTTGTCTTTGCCTTGCGTTGCCTTGCTTTCCTTTGCCGTGGCTTGGCTGTTTTGTGTGTTGGCTGGCTTGCTGGCTTGACTTCCTGCCTTCCTGCCTTCCTGCCTTCCCTGCCTTCCTGCCTTCCTGCCTTCCTGCCTTCCTGCCTGCTTGTTTTGCTTTCTTGTTTGCTTGTATGTTTGTTTGTTTGTGTTTGTGTGTGTTTGTTTGTTTTTGTTTGTTTGTTTTGTTTGTTTTGTTGTTTTGTTTGTTTGTTTGTTTGTTTGTTTGTTTGTTTGTTTGTTTGTGTTTTTTTTGTTTGTCTGTTTGTCTGTCTGTTTGTTTGTTTGTTTGTTTGTTTGTGTTTTTTGTTTGTTTGTCTGTTTGTCTGTCTGTTTGTTTGTTTGTTTGTTTGATTGATTGATTGTTTGTTTGTTTGTGTTTGGGAGTGTGTGTGTGTTTGGTGGTTTGTTGGTTTGTTGGTTTATTATTTGTTTGTTGCTTGGTTGTGTGTTGGTTTATTTGATTGATGTGTGATTGGTTGTTTTGCTCCTTTGTTTTGTTTGTCTGTCCTGTCATGTCCTGTCTGCCTGGCTGGCTTTCTGTCTGTCTGATTGTTTGTGTGTCTGTGTGTCTGTTTGTCTGTCTGTCTGTCGGTCGGTCGGTCGGTCAGTCGGTCAGTCGGACTGTCTGTCTGCCTGCCTGCCTGCCTGTCTGTCTGTCTGTCTGTGTGTCTGTCTGTCTGTCTGTCTGTCTGTCTCTCTGGCTCTCTGGCTCTCTGTCTCTCTGTCTCTCTGTCTCTCTGTCTCTCTGTCTCTCTGTCTCTCTGTCTCTCTGTCTCTCTGTCTCTCTGTCTCTCTGTCTCTCTGTCTCTCTGTCTCTCTGTCTCTGTGTCTCTCTGTCTCTCTGTCTTTCTGTCTCTCTGTCTCTCTGTCTGTCTGTCTGTCTGTCTGTCTGTCTGTCTGTCTGTCTGTCTGTCTGTCTGTCTGTCTGTCTGTCTGTCTGTCTGTCTGTCTGTCTGTCTGTTTGTATGTTTGTTTATTTGTTTATTTGGTTGTGTGTGTGTGCTTGTTCTTTTGTTTGTTTCCTCTAGGCGCGTGGAATGCGTTTTCGCCTTCTGACGCACCAACTTTCCGGATTATTGTGAAACATGTTGATTTCCTTTCTGTTTGTGCGCAGTTGATTTTGGAGGATCCACTCCGAATTGGGTGGTTTTGGGATGTTTCTGCTTATGCTGGGGGTTACGAGCTCTGGTGGGGATACAACGAGCTCACCATGATGTAGGTCCTTGGCTGGGCATCCCTGTCAGGTTTCGGATTCCACAGATGTTCGCGCTCTTCAGGATTCAAGACCTTTGCAGCAATGACAGAATTCACCTACTTACTCATAGGGCGGTTTTGTATCATTGCCAAGCACTTGACCAATCAAACCCAGTAAAGGCACAGTCGTTGTCATGGTATTTTGGCGGTTTGGGCAACAAATGGTGTTTTGATGAGTGAGATGAGTGTTGTTCACCTTTGTGCACTTTGCCGCCCCATTTCCGACGGAACCTGATCTTGTTTCGGCCACCGCGATCTATGAGCTTGAAAGGTCAACCTGCTAGGTGTACCAGAAAGCCGTGGCAGTGATAGCTGTTGAGCGGGACGGGTTTAGACGGAAGTTGGTCGAGCGACCGGTGGCAAGCAAAAGCTGGACCTTGACATATGAGACTTTGAAAGCAGCCAACAACCTGTGAGAGGTGGGGTTGCAGCAAAAAACATCCTGTGGTCTGGCGGGGACATGGGAGGACCCACTAAATGTTCCACAAACCTAAGTGGTCTCACTAATTTTCACATATCCCTGAAATACTCGAACAGCATATTTTGACCATGGCTCGGCTTTTTTTTGCACCACCCATGCTCCGGAGTTGTTTGAAACCCAGATTCGCTTTGCGCGCACCTTTCGGCAACTCGTAGACGTATCCTTGAGTCGACCTGTGCTGGTTCAACTTATTCCCCATTTTCTTCACGGATCAATCTCTTAATACATAAGCAAGTCCCCTGAGAAAGTTGGTAAATCAACCCTTAGAACACCAGCCCAAGTTATGTGCCAAGGATTCGCGTGCAGGAAGTGGAGGATGTGGCGGAAGATTTCCAGCAGTAAGGGCCCCTAGAGCGCTCGCTGTTGAATGTGTCATGTGAAACGGCACTCCTTGGTGGATACACGTTGACATTGGAAACACGGGTTTCCACCAATCATGATCCAACTATGTACTGGGTTTGCCCTGTTTTTTTTGCGAAGGTTGGTTTGAAGGAAAGCCACAGGAAAACCACCGTTTCACCGGGGTGATGAGGTTGATGTGTGAATGGGAAATATAGGGAGCCCTGTTTCACCAAGTCAAGAGGACACCACAATGTTGGCAGGTCAACATGGAATTCCGGTCTTTTCCAGGTTTGGATTTGGCCTTGGTTTATGCACAGCGCAAGCAAGTTTTGAGGGCGCTAGGGCAAGTAGCACATGGGTGTGCATTTGTTGGATACCTGGTAGGGGCTGCTTTAAAGAGCCGGCACACGCAAAACTTTAAACATACTCACGCGCACACATCCATACAGAACGCACGTACGCATGCATGGACGCGCGCAAACACGCACGCACGCCCCTTTGGAGACAATCCAATTCCACAGATTCGGGGAAGCGCGAGCCGGACGGGACAGGTGCCGGTGCCGTTTGATGCTTGCTGTGAAGCAGTGGTCAGTGCATGTGCAATCTGCTGCAAGCTATTCAGAGACACGCCACATATTTTCGACACATGCGCATGAAGGACCCTTTCGCCGGCCCTTTGCGTGGCTTCCCTTGAAGGGCCCTACCTGCAAGCACGCCACGTGTGTGGACGCCCATCTCCCACATGTTCACACGGGCATTTGTTTATCCACCGCTCGCTGCCGAATTGGGGGGTGTGAGGTACCCTTGTTTTTGTTTCACACCGTTGAGGGGCAACCAGTGGGAAGTGGAGCGGCACTTGAAAATTCAGGGGTCCCATTCATGTAGAGACAAGTCGACCAGTTTTCCGGGTTTCCACAACTGTTCCCATACCGCTCCCAGAACCATTCTTAGAACCCCTTCTAAGAAGCTTTTAGAGCATGTTTGGGTTAGGGGGGGGGTTTGGGTTTCCCTTGCTCAAGAACCCGCTGGCTGAGGCTGCTTGAGATCGAGACCAGCGGCGGCAAAGAGCGGGCGGAGGAGCTGACTTTTGGCGAGATGGGTATTTTAGTGGATTCAGTGGCACCCCTGTCCCCCTTGCTCCTCACGGGACTATGTTTCGGCATCCCATCCAAAAAGGGAGCCGTATTTATTTTCGATCATCCCCTGATAGGTTTGCGCAATAAAAATCAATCCCGGAAAGAAGGTTCCCGGGATTGATCTTTCATTGGGGGTCCTTTGGTGGACATCACCAACCACTTGAACGGTGTTCCCTATCAGAGCACAGCCATTCCTGTTCCCGCCAAAAGCTGTTGTGGGCGTAGGTAGTCCGGCGCGTTACCGTTTGCAGGCGTAATGAGGTATTTTCCCAGTGGTGCTTGCCATTAGTTTTCTCGTTTGATCGCTGCCCAAGATTTGTTCCAGTTCTGCTTTTGCTGGAGTATCCGCCTATCTCCGGTTGCAGCTGTGGCCCCTTGCTTGCAAGATCGTGCGCTTCTGCAACATGTTTTCAACAGGACCTGGACAATGTAGCCGTGCACTGGAGGGTGCGAAGGCTGGTGCCACGGGTTGTGCCCGTGGCTTGCATTGCATAGGTGGTATGATCCTGAGACCCTGTGGTGGCAGTACAAGCTTAAAATAAAGTGACCCTCCCCACCCTTTCTAGAAGTAAAATCCAACCTTTTGAACAACAGTATACATTGGGCCTCAAATAGAAGAGAGCCACGCCCGTTTGTCGCTTTGAGCGTTCCGCTCTCGCAGTCACCCGACTCGTGTCGACAGGTGGATGCCCGAGGGCACCTTTTGCATTGCCAGCAGCCGTGAGCGCCTTGCCATCATGCCTCTTGGCGGCCGAGATGCGAGGGGTGGGCAAACACATGGCCGGTTCCTGGTGGGCCCCCTGACGTGTCAGTGGCACAGAAAGGCGCTTTTTGGTTTCCTTGATTTGTGTCTTCTGTAGGCAGCTAGCAGCTTGCACGAAGCTTTTTGCTCAGGGTTCAGATCCGCTTGGCCAAGAAAGCATGGCTGCTCAACCAATACACCGTTCGCTGTGCATTGACTTGCGGTGCGTTATGCCAGGTGCAACTTTGCCATGGTTCACAAGTGAATCTATTCCCTGTTTGGGTGGGTTGAGAATGCCCTTGACTTTGCCGTGTTTTTTTGGTATGAGTGAACTTAGGGGACCCCCCCCCCCCCGGAAAAGAAAAAAAGGGGGAAAAAACAAAAAAACGAACACAGTGTTCTGTTCCCGCTGGTTTCCCTTTGATCCTGCTTGAAAAGGGAAAAACACGCGCACACACACACACACACTGAAGGGACTTGCCAATGTGTGGATTCTTCGCCTTTGTCATGGGTAACCCGAGTCCCGCCCCCTCAAACTGAGCATGTTTTGCATCGGGTACATGCTGATGGCGTGTTCTTTTAAGGCCAGGTTACGGGCTGGTGCCCATCGAAGACCAGAACGCAGCTCGGGCCGCACTTGGCACCTCCCCTAACAAGTAACAAACCCTTCCGATAAGACATCACCGCGTACTGATTCGTACATACATGCATGCATACAGACATACTGCACATGCAGGCAGGCAGGCAGGCAGGCAGGCAGGCAGGCAGACAGACACATACATGCATACATACATGCATCCAGGCAGACAGACAGACAGACAGAGACAGACACAGAGACAGACAGAGACAGACAGACTTACCTGCCTACTGTATCTACCTACATACACATCCAAACATAAGTGTGCACACTAAACTTACCAGGAAACAGTGAACAATGCCTGCACGCGCATGGTTTGCCGCTTCTTAGGGTTAAGAGAGGCATAGAAGCGTCGTAAACTTGCAATGGAAAGCATTCCAGACATTCATCCTACTAGCTTGGTACAGATGCCAAAAGGGAATCAAGCTGCGCAAGTGCCATGGGTAGAGCGCGATTTCCCCAGCGTGGAGCATTGCCATCAATGTGGTACTGAGTGCCAGGGCGAAGGTCGAGACACGTCCACTGATGATGGCAACATTGGAGCATGTTTGTTTCGCACAAGTGCATGACTTGCAGCCTGCATGTTTGCAGAATGTGTCTTTAGTTCCTGTTGAAACTTGATAGGGCCTGACATGCAACACGTACTCTGTTTCTGAGGCAATCAGTGGTATCATTGCCAAGTTGCACTGCCCACTCACAGGCTGAACAAAAAACACCACGTGCTGCTCAACACCCCAGCAGCGTGGGACCACCTATGTGCAAGTTGGTTCAGTCCAGTGTTTGAGCCATGTGTGCAACATCAAACACTTTAAAGAGTGATAAAGCTGACGAGTCGGCTTCCAGGCGCTTAGCATGTTTGGGCTTACGATTCAAACATATCAGGCCTCTAATTTTGAGATCTCTCTGAGGCACAGGCGCTCATCACCGACTCACTTTGGCGATTAAGCTAGCGCAGGTTTTCCTGATCAAGTAAGACGGGCCAGCACGTACTGGAGCGTGTTGGGTGAAACATGGGAGATTGGCGAAAATAGTCAAATCCGGAATGTGCAAAGGATGCTCTCAGGCTGCTAAATTGTACAACACTATTTGTAAACTGCAAGCAAAACGCATTCTTCCCATTGTCAAATTGTTGCTTGGGAAAGCACCGTGTTCTTGTTTTGTCATCAGGGTCAGCCAGGATGTGCTAGCACATCCTGGGAAGACAGCATTTCCGGAGAAGTTTTCTGAGAATCTTTAAGCACACTGTTGGGGCAATCCAGGATGTGTGCCAGCATAGCGAAATTCTGGGCAACACAGTTCTGTGCCCTGGTAGGGGTCATGGGTCAGGGACCCGTCGAGAGTAGCCGGAAGGAACCCCACTGCGCATCCAACGTCTTGGGAAGGAGGTAGGCCTTTGGAGGCCTTTATTCCGAAAGCACCAGCTCGAAGACGGCCTCTTGTATCGCTGTTTGATGTAAAATTCAGGTCAGGAACGCTTTTTCATTTTGCCTGGTGGCTGGAACATCCTCCAACATCTTTTGGACGATCAAGCCCTATGCCTATGCAATCGATGTCCCCCTTGGTATCCTGGTATCCCTTGCGGCCTCCGTCAGGCACCACCAGTGCAGATCGCAGTTGGTGAAGGCCGAATGAAGCGACGCGGGCCTGACGTGCAGGCTTACCAATTCCGCGGTAAAACAAGCAAAACAAACATGATGAAGACCCTTTAATAAGAGCTCCCGTATTTCTCCCATACAGGTTCTGGAATTGTTGTACAACACAATGTGCATATTCTGCTTGGAAGCTCAAGGGTCCCTGAGTTTTCTTTTGGTATGCAACAGGGTATCCCCATATTTCCCTTTGTAGTGGTTTTAAACATCACCTTGTTGTCCCATGTCAGGTGTGTTCCCCTTAGGGGTGATGACCACACGGGAAGCCAAGAGACCCTGTCGATTGCCAGGCCAGCAGGAGGCGGTGGAGCTCATTGCCTCTAAGATTGGCCCTGGCGGCAAGGCGCGGAACCTTCTCAATATATTGTCAGGGAAATCGTTACCATATTAGGCGAGCCCACTGGAGGGAAAGCGAGCGCCCGCAACTCCTTTATTTCCGGTTGGTGAACTAGTGTAATTTACGCAGCATCATGCAGGAGCAAGCTGAACCCTTTGTTAAAAGGAAGGATGTGTCTTGTGTTTTTCTCACGCACGCCTCTAAAGAGTTTCTGATTGGCCCGGCATTTGCATGTTTTTTTTTGCTTGGAATCAGAACGTTGCATGGAACCCCGAAGAGGGTCCAATTCCCAAAAGGAGTTTGCTTGATTCCCTTCTAGATGGGCAAACTCCTGCACCAGTTGGGATGGATGATGCAAAGCCCCATGATTTTGATTTCGTCCATCCACAGCATGCGTCCACGTTAAACTGCAGCGTAGGTAGCGACGGGGTTGCTCAACGCACTTCGGCCGTTTGCAGGGCCACCTCTTCCTGAAGAGCCAAGCCATGAAGATGAACCGACCCAATGGGTGTGTCCGGCGCTTATGGGCTTTCGAGATGCCACTTCTGTGACACTGTGGGAACCAGCCTTGGCATGACAGAAAGGGTCATGTCCCACAACCATGGGCAGGGAAACACTCGGTTGGATGCGCATCCAGGCTAGGTTGTATCGATTGCAGATGAGGGCAAAGCTTGTGAGAAAGCTTGTTCTAGGCAGACACTCTACAACTTCCCTGGGAAGAAGCTGGTTCACAGCTTCTTCCATGTTACCACGTGCGTTGCCCAAAGGATGTGCATACTGACATGACTTCTTCCGCCAAATGAAGGTCTAGTATGGATGCGTTGCGCCACCTACAGGCCCAGAAGCAGACACAGCGACTTCAGACTATTCGGAAGACAAAGGCGCACACCATGTTGGTACACGATGGTGCACGCACATTGTTGTGTTGCACATGTAAAGGTGGTGCATTCCACGTAAGGATGGTAGCCACAACATATGTTCATTAACTCATTAACTCATTCATTCCATTCCATTCCATTCCATTCCATTCCATTCCAAAACATTCCATTCCATTCCAAAACATTCCATCCCATTCCATTCCATCCCATTCCATTCCATTCCATTCCATTCCATTCCATTCCATTCCATTCCATTCCATTCCATTCATTCATTCATTCATTTATTGATTCATTCATTCATTCATTCATTCATAGTTATTCCATTCATAATTATATTATTAATATGTACTTCATTCATATTTATTCCGCTCCGCTCCGTTCCTTTCCATTCCATTCCATTCCATTCCATTCCATTCCATTCCATTCCATTCCATTCCATTCCTTTAGTCAGTCAGTCAGTCATGCATTCATTGATTCATGTGTTCGGTCTTTCGCACCTAGCCCCCCTGCTTTTTTATATGACCATCGTTCGGATTGCGAACCTACCTGAAAGCTACCCTTAGCCCACCCTGAATTGTGGACTGAAATGCCGTTCTTTCGTGCGCGCCAGGCTGTGCCAGGGTCAGGCTAATGCCAGGACTACGCAAAAAATAACACCTCAGCCCCCTTTTGACCTTGATTTGCGGGGACGCGGAAAGGAACGACTTTTTGGCGTCCCCCGATTTTGGCGCACACGCCAGGTGTGCCGCTTGTCTCTCCGTTAGGTCATCATGGACGTGGAGGTTGTTGCTATGGATGCCAACAGGGGGCCGGGCACGCCGGGTGCGGATCCTGAGTGCTCATGCGAGTGGTCAGGTTTGACCCCCAGGTGAGGATTTGGATCCCTAAATTCCTCACATGCCAACATGGCAAACCTCGCAACACGAGGTTGGACCCTTTAAAGCAGTTGGCTTCCTTTTGGGTTCAACCCTTGAAGCCCAGCCAAGGGGAGCTCCCAGGCACCTCCCAATACATGCAAACTGTCCGAAGCCAGCAGATAGGCTCGATTTGGCTCACGTCACGGGCGCTCGACACCAGTCATGCCAAACAGGGGCGTCCAAATTCGATGTAATGTTGGAATGTGGGCTCATGCAAGCTTGCGTGCTGTAAATCAAAACAGGCTGTGCACATACCTTGCCTATTTGGGCGCCAATGGGCCTGCTCGGCAACTTGCTTCCTTTGGCTTTGCAGCACACACCGTGTTTTTGTTGTTGCCTTCACAAAAACCAAACTTAAAAGGACCACCATTTGGGGGTGCCCTAGTTTGAAACACGCCCATGTAGCCACAGGATTTCGGGATTAGCACGCCGTTCTGCTCGGCCCATGGCGCCCTGATGTGGCGGGACCAGGATCTGTTTGTGGCGGCCACGATTTTGGGTTTGGCGCTTGCATGGCGCCTCGCCGGAGCACGACTTTGTGATTGCTGGTAGGAATCATGTCCGATAATGTCCGTAAAAAAAGAAGAAGGAAAAAACAAACACGTGCCACCCTTGTTTTCCCCTTCCACCGAAAGTCATCCATGGGAAGGTTTGGGCCCTTCAAAAGTGTCGGTTTCCTTGAGGCATGACATTGTTTGTCGAGGATTTCCCAAAGCACCAGCCATGAGTCCTCGTGGTTTTCGTGGTGTCTCACTAGATGGCTTCGCAGATTCGGAAAATCGGGATCCGGGACCCATCTCGACCGGTTTTGCACAGAGTGAGGCGCTTTGCCAAGCACGACACCCGCCTGCCTTCGTGTGCCAAGCTTCCCAACGAATCACTCACGCAGACCCAGCGAGCCTTCGGTGAGGAAGGTGCCACGGTTTTGGCACGTGGGGTTTTAGGTCGCCACTTTCTGTAATACCAAGGGAATTTGAGTCAAAGTGGAAAAGGTAGTCGGGCAATGATCCATTTGGGTCACAGAAAGCGAGGGGAATTGTTTTTTTTTTTTTTTTTCCGCTTTTGGCTTTTTGCTTTTTGGCTTCTCGGCTTCTTGGCTTTTCGGCTTCTTGTTGGTCTATGCGGCTTTTGGGTTTTTTTCGCATCCTTTGCTTTCCCAATTCCTCTCCGGCCTTGTTGGCTTTTGCACCCTTTCATTGTTTTTTGGTTTTAGCCCCCCGCATCCTCAGCTCCACCAGTTCCTCTCCGCCAAGTGTTCTTAATAATTATGCTTGCGTATGTCTGCCTGTATGTTGTAATCTATGTAATCTGTTTATGCATGGCTGTATGTATGCACTTCTTCGAACATCATAGGTGAAGCCACCCCCCCTACGAGGGAACTTTATGTATAATGTGAACGGGCCATTCGCCTTTTGATAACCAAGTCTAAGTTAAGAGAATTTGTAAAATTCTTAGAGTTTTTAAAACTTATAGAATTCTAAAATTCGGACCCCCAAAATTTATATTTTTTAGAATTTTAGAATTCTAGATGGTCCCAGCCCAGGAGGGGCCCAGCCAGGACCCTTGATTTTTTAGATTTTTTAGAACTTTTTGAATTTTGAGAATTGAGTTCTAAAAACTCTAAAAAATCTAAAAATCGGACCCCCAAATTTTGGAAGTTTTAGATTTTTTAGAATTCAATCCTTAAAAAAAACGGACCCCGAACATGTTGATTTTTTAGAATTTTAGAATTCTAGATGCAGGAGGGGCCCAGCCAGGACCCTTGATTTTTAGATTGTTTGCAACTTTTAGATTTTTTAGAATTGAGTTCGAAAAAATCTGAAAATCGGCCCCCCAAAATTTAGATTTCAGAATTTTAGAACTCAATTGTAAATTCTTAAGCTTTTAAAAATCGGACCCCCGGAGTTTAGAATTTTTAGATATTTTAGAATTCTGGATGGTCCCAGCCCAGGAGGGGCCCAGCCAGGACCCTTAGAATTTAGATTTTTTAGAATTGATTTCTAAAAAATTTAAAAATCGGACCCACACAAATTAGATTTTTTTGACATTTTAGAACTCAATTCTAAAAAATCTAAAATCGGACCCCCGAAATTTAGAATTTGTGGAATTGTTAGAACTCAATTCTAAAAATTCTAGAAGTTCGAAAAATTATAAAAATCAAGGGTCCTGGGCCCTCCTGGGCTGGGACCATCTCGAATTCTAAGAATTCCCAATTTCGGGGGTCCGATTTTTAGAATGTTTAGAATTGAGTTATTTTTTTAAGTCTAAATTGTTGGGGTCCGATTTTTAAAAGTTTAAATGTTTTAGAACCCAATTAAAAAACTTATAAAATTCCTATAAAAGCAAAAGCAAACACAAATAACACTAAAAATCAAGGGTTCTGGCAGGGCCCCTCCTGCGCTGAGACCATCCAGAATTCTAAAAAATCTAACATAGAATAAGTTTTGAGTGTTCAATTCTACAGTTTCAAAATCAAAGAACATTGTCGCCCCCTTTGTTCGCGAGTACGCAGAGAGGTTGGAAAGAGTGAGGAAGGGATGGGAGGAGGACATGCCTCTCACTAGCGCAAAAGGGGTAGGAAGAGAAATGAAAGATGCTTCTCTTTTTAGCTGTTGGAAGAGGTGAAGGCAATTCACCCTGTCATGCTACTCCTTTCTCTTTTCCACGCCTTTACCCACAACCACAAGTAGCTGTGTGTTGGATAAAAGGCATGGGAGAGGAAGGATAGAGAGTGAGGGATAGAGATGAATGCTGGGCCAGCCCTCAAGGGCAGTCATATGATGGCTAATGAAAGAGAAGGCGCCATCATCACTCTCACATCATCTCTTTTTTTACCGCTCATTACCTATCTCCCATCATCTCTAGCTTCTAAATCTTGGAGGTGGATGAGGGAGGAGATAGGGATGATAAGGTGAGCCACACCCCTGGCAATTGCTTCACCCACCTTCCGAGTGGAGGGTGGTGATAGGCTTTGAAGGGGGCCAATGAAAGGGAAGGCCATCATCAATCACCCTCACATTATCTCTTGGATGTGGGTGAGGGAGGAGGTAGGATGAGAGGGAAAACGTGACAAGGTGAGCCCACCCACTCTCTCCTTCACCCACCTTTTCAATCTCTTTTTCTCTCGCTTGCAGGTGATAATGAGATATAATGAGTGAAGAAGCGAGCGAAGAGTCAGGGCAAGCAAGGAAGAGACAGGGAAAGAGATGTTACTATCATAAAAGCGCTTCCATATTCTAAGAGTATAAAACAGAGTTGCTTCATAATTAGAGATGCTTTGCATCTCTTGCATTCCCTTTCTCAATTCTATTTCCCTCTCATGTCACTCCCAAAGCTATTAAAAGAGAACGGGAATGGCAGGTAAAGATGATTCGAATTGGACAATAAGGACATTCCAGCTCGTCTAGCTTTCATTTACTTCCCTTCTCTTGAACATTCTTGAACTCCCCTTTCCCAAGGTAGCTCATATTTGGGGAAGAGATTGGGAAAGAGAAGCTGAATAGACATGAAGGAAGAGGAATTCATTTGTAATCGCTGGAAAGAACTGGCCAGCGGATGGGATTTCCTCTGGCCACCTGTCACCTAATCACTTTACCTCTCTCATCATCAATTCCCTGTCTCCTTTCCATTCTCACCGTTGCAACGGCTAGGAAAGAAGACGGGATGAAGAGAAAGGAACTAGAATGAAGAACCCAGATGACATAAAAGACGTTCTGGATTCTATTACATGACTAAAGGGAAACAAGATGGTTGGATGGCCATCCATCTCCTTGCCTACTCTCTCATCTCTTTCCCCACCCCCACCTCCATCTCAGCTTCAAGGAAGCTGTAGGTGGTGAGGAATAGAAATGAAGGGAGAAAGGGTGGTGGTAAGGTGGTAAGATAGAGGCTTGAAATGAAGTGAGTGCGTGATAGAGATGACAGAGAGACTGATGTAGGCAAGAGATGGAAAGGTCATAAGGCCAGATTGTCATCCCTCTCACCTTTTTGTCTCGGCATATCTTCACTTTCCAAGAATATGTTTTTCCATCCTCATCCATCTCCAAGCCAAGAAAATGAGGTGAGGGGATGGGGCCGTGAGATGGCAAATCAATGAGTTTTTCCTCTCTCTCGCCCTTCTCTACCTCCCATCACCCAGCCTCTGCTTCCGAGAAAAAGGGTGATAAAAGGGAAACAAGAAGGGGGGAGAAATAAGCAGTGGAGATTCCTTAGCCCACCCTTCCTTGAGATCTTATTGGTGGGCATTTCCTGTCTATAGACTTTCTAGAACCAATTATACATTGATTATTGTAATCTCAGACATTATAATCTACAGTCCTATCGCTTGGTCATTTCTGTATCACCTACTAATCTCTATTTTGCTCCATTGATAAGACTTCGGAAGTCCATGACATCAATAATCGCAAGGCGAGAGAAACACGTAAAATAGGTTGTAAAAAATGAATTGGATTTAGTTTCTGGGTTGACCTGACCGTGCAAATCTGCGACGCTGCTATCCCTTTTTTCGAAGTGGCAAGTGCTGAAAAAGGAGCCGGTTCACATTATACGCATTGTTCCCTGCCACCACGCCCCCCCACCCCGCGCTGCTTTCTATATTCTATCGCACCCTTCTTGAATCTTTGCACCCCTACTTGAATCATCACTTTTGTTTGAATCAGAACACGAGAAAATGCTGTAAAATACTGCGTATGCCTGTATGTATGCACTTCTTCGAACACTGTAGGGGAAGCCACCCCGCCAACCCCCCCCCCTCGCTGCTTTGTATATTCTCTCGTCATCACTTTTTCGAACATCATGGGCGGCACCCCCCCGCCACTTTCCAGATGCGCACCCCTATTTGAATCATTTGCTCGACCCTGTCAACCCGCACGCTACTTTTTTGTTGATGCTTTTCACCAACGATTT